ACTGTTCCCTCCTCGTTTGGCTGGGACAGCCATCTAAACCTGGATCTTTCTTTTGGAGCAGCTACAGACTAAAAATGCACCCCAGGCAATAGTTGCAGAACTATGTAGAGTATCTATTTCACTTAGAACCATTTTGGTCATTGGTGATTTCTAAGAAATTAGTCCATTTAATACCAGTTCTTGAATTTTAATTATGATATTATTTTATTCTCATTTAATATCTGCCAGACCTTTTCTGGAAAGCCCCTCTTTCACTCTTAATATTGCTAACCTGTGTCATTTTCCTTTTTGCCTCTGTCGGTCTCACTAGAGGGTTATTGAATGTTCTTTTAGAAGAACCAGCTTTTGGCATTACAGAATTTCTCTATTGTTTTCTGTTGCTCACTTTATGGATTTCTGCTCTTAGCTTCATTGTCCCCTTCCTTCTGACCTGTTTTGCACTTACTTATTCTTTTCTAATTTCTTCAGTTGGAAACTCAGTACAATGATTTTCGATTTTCTTCTCTTCTAAAATACGCATTTCGTTCTAAAAAGTTCCTTCTCAGTACTTCACTAGCTATAACTCACAAATGCTGATACTCTGTATTGTGATTTGGGGTCATTTACAAATATTTTCAATGTCCATGGAGACTTCTTATTTGACACAGGGGTTATTTTGAAGTGTGGTATTCAATAGCAAGTGTTGGAGATCATTCTTACATTCTTCTGTTATGGAGTTCTAGCTTAATCTTATCTTTGTGAGAAAGTATATGTTGGATGATTATAATTTTTTAATTTGTAAGTTTTTGGGGTTTTTTTATCCCATTACCTAGAACAAGAATGTTCTTGGGCACTAGAAAGGAGCGTGTGCTCTGCTGTTGTGGGTGAAGTGTTCAGTGAATGTCAGTTAGGTCCAAGGACTCGGTGGTTTTGCTCCATTCTACTAGGTCCTCAATTGATTTCCTCCCGTGGGCTGCATCAGTTATACAACAGGAAATTCAAGTCTCCAATTGCAGTTTCAGTTCTCAATCTTTTTGACTGCACCTGTTTTGAAACTGTGAATGCCTACACACTTGGGATTATATTTTATGCACAATGATTTAACATACCAGGCCAGAGACAGGCATTCCTAGAAAGACATACTTACAAGGTTGGCTTTTAGCTGAGTCTGGGAACTGCGAGGGGAACAGTTGCCTGCATTAGTATAAACCTGGCCCTAAGGGATCAGAATGACTCACTGCTCCTAAACCCTCTGTATGAGCAATGGTCTATGCTGAACACTGCCTGCCTTCTGGGAGTCCAGAGCTTCAGTACATGTCAGGCAGAGAGGAACTAACCACACAACTCTCCCTGGACTAAAACCATAGATATCTACACCCAGGATGTTCTTGGGTAGAAAACCCTCCACACGTGTTATCACAACTCACTGATGTGCAGTTAAGGGATCCTCAACTGTTTGAATGCACTGAAGAGGCTCCTGGAAGCTCCCACCTGGCTTCCTCAGGATATCTCCCCATGGGCCTTTTCCTCCTGCGATTCTTGCTCTGTGTCCTTTGCCTAAATAAATCTTAGCTCTGGGTACAACCATATCACCACAACAGAAAGAAGAGGGGTGAACTCTTTCCTTGTGGAGCTGCAGGGGTTGGGGCTCAGAGAGGTGGAGTGATGTGCTCAGGTCACTTATGTGCAGAGGCTGAGCTGGACCCTCCCCTGCCAGTAGCCCTCATGAGTCACCCCAGGACCTCCCTCTGCTACTCGTTCCCCGCCTCTGTCCTCACTCTCAGCACTCCACCCAGGGCACCTCAGCATCACGAATCAATTCTTTTTCTATTCCTCTTCCCTCTTCAGGTCTGATCTCATGGATGAGCTCTCCCTCCCCAACCCTTATTCTAGGCTCCCCAATACCAAAAGAGGGGTCATCCAAAGTCCTCCCACTGCCCCACATTTCCTCCCTCAGCCCCATGGCCCACACTGTTGCCACTTCCAATCCCAAATTTCAGTCCCTTCAGACCCCAGGAGACTCTCCCGTTTCATTTCCTCCTCCACCTCCTGTCTACTAACTTAATCAGGGCAGTTCCCTTCCTGCTTCTCTGACCCCCATAGCCTCCTGCCTGCTTCCCCACCTCCTGTCCCTGCTGCTCCATACCCAGTCCCCAGACCACATGCCCTTCCTCACCAACACTTCCTCCCTCCCTCCCCTCCCTGGGCTCTGCCCCCAGGTCCACCCAGGGCCTCGACCTCCACTCACCTACTGCTCCCTCTGGCCTCTGCTCTTCGGCACTCCTGGGTCTCCCTGCCCCAACCCCCTCCCCATGCCCACTCCCCCTCTTCCCATTCCCATCCACACACCTTCCCACCAGGTGCCTCACTGCCCTCTGGCTCAACTGGCCCTCTGGGGGACCAGGTTACAGAGCCCATCATGCAAGGAACAGGATGGGCCACAATTCCCTGTCCCTGTCTGAGCTCCCTCCAGCCTCAGGAGAAAAACTCCTGGGGGCTTGCCCTCCCTCCCTGCATCTCCAAGATCCATCTCAGGGCCTGACTTGGACTTGAGCAGAGCCAGGCCTCTGTCCACCTCCTCCTGCACCCCAGCCTGAGTCAGCCTGTCCATCAAGCCCCAGCAAGACTGAGACAGCAGGAGGGAGTTTCCCTACCATCCTGAGTTGCCCAAGGTCATGGCCAGGGCACTGTGAGCAGAAAGGAGCTGAGCTCTGAGGTTGAGCCTCTGCCTCCATGAGGACACAGGGCAGGAGTTTTCCTGGGGACAGGGCAATTCCTTCCAGGATCTGTTCCATTTCCAATAATTACATGAACCTGGCCTCTTCCTTTACTAATTACCATGAAAGAGCTGGATTCAGCCCTGCTTAGAACTTCTCTAACAGAAAGTCACGGTTAGACACTTCCGGGATCACAGGGTGAGGCGAGAATCACCTTGAACTGGGAGGAAAGGCTTGTGGAAGGAAGAAGAGGGACAGGGGTGTTCTCTGGGGCTTGGAGAGACCCAAACTCTCCTCACAGAGAGGCAGGCAAGGAAGAAGCTCACCAGCCAGAAGCCCAGAATGCAGGCTGAGTGTGGACGGAGTGTGAGCCCAGCCCCCAAGGCCCAGATACACGCCTTCTACAGCAGGGACCTGTCTCCCTTCACAGGCCACTCTCAGTGCCTCCCCTCCCCAGCCCAAGACCCATACTCAAGCCCCATGGACACAGAAAAGAAATGTGCACTTGAAAATTGTCTCCCATGGAAAATCGACTTTCATATCATAGTGGAATTTTCACAGGCTTTCAAAATCCAAGCTAGCACACTGACACAGTGGTGCACAGGGGTCATTCCAGTAATTTAAGAGGCTGAGTCAGGAGGATCTCAAGTTTGAGGCCAGCCTTGGCAACTCAGCAGGACCCTGTCTCAAAATAATAAAAACTACAAAGTACTAGGTCTGCACCTCATTGGTACAGTGTCCTAGTGTTCCTGGAAGGCTGGGCCTGTGCTCTGACTCTGCCCCATTCTCTGCCCAGGGGGAGCACACTGGTCCGCCGGCCTGCTCAGAGCTACAGGCAGCATTGGGGACAGGCAGCATTCCAGCTGGGCCCACCTAGGTTGCTGACTCCTCTCATGTGACTCCTGGTCCTGAGTTTCTGACATTGAGCACATTGGATTAGCTGAAGAGCTACAAGTACTAGCACGAGGACTGTGACCTTTCTTTTGCCTTCACCCTGCACACTATAGAGATCGTCCCTGTGCCCACCTCACCTGCCATCCCTTCAAGTCCTCCTGCTTAGAAAATGGAGCTGTGATATCATTAAAAGTGGCTGGCACCCAGGGCTGGACTTATGGCTCAGGGGTAGAATGTTTGCCTGGCATGTGTGAGGCTCTGGGATTGATCCTCAGCACTGCATATGGATAAATTAATTAATTTAAGATCCATTGACAATTAAAAAAATGTTTAAAAAAAATCCCAAAGTGGCTGGCACTGATGGGCCAAGTGAGATCACCTAGTCAGTCACCCAAAAATGTCCAGTGTGGCCAAGAGGAGCCAGCCCACATGACTCTGGCCAATTTGTATGTGAGGGAATTAGCGGAGCCCACCCCTGCTCTTTCCCTCCAGAATGAGGATGGGGAAGACCTTGAGGAGGGTCTCCCTCTGCAACCCCAAGGACATTGGCCTGGAGGGGCTGAGAGAGGCCACGTATCCACAGGAACAGTGTAGGCTGCAGGAGTAGCAGGTCTGCAGTGACACTGTGGATTCTGAACACGGAGTCTCCCAGTTTTGGTTCCAGTCCCCCCGTGTGCTCACCCCACAGCTCTGTTTTCCCGAGAGCCTGAAGAGAGCATCGGGCTGGTCCTTGCTTCCTCCCCAAGCCTCACAATGTGTATGCTGAGCTTGTAGTGGCACCCCCTTTCTCCACAGAAAGGTCTTAACTGGGCTTCTCCAGAAATCTTCACCATGGCTGATTTTAAGACTGTCAGCAAAAGAGTCTCTGCAAAAGAGTTCAATGTCGATAAACTTCCTATTTTCATGTCGCCCTGTTTTACTTGGCCACTGGCCGAGAAGATACCAGCACTCCAGGTGCTGGTTACTCTCTTACTAGTTTTTCACAAACGTATCCAGTATAGTACTTTGAAGAAATGTGCAAACAAGGCCTCTGGCCTTGGGCTGAGCTTCACAGAGATGTCTACATTTTTAAGATAAGTTACAGTTGGGCTCCATGGTAACAGCTGGCAGGGGGAGGAAAGAAAGGGGAGAAGAAGCTCTTCCCCTCTCAGTCACTGTCCTTGAAGGGTTAACTTGCCCAGAACAGTGAAAGAAAAAGCTGCTTTTATGTGAACTTCTGCAGACTGTGAACTTCTGAGCCCCTCCCCTTACATGCTGGGTATAAAACTCTGAAACTCTCTGAACTTGGCATTCAGGGAATTGATTGATTACAGCAATAGCTGTGCCCTCTCAACCTGGCTGCAGCCAAATAAAACTGTTTCCTTTCTCTTCGGTGCTTTGCCTCTTTTGTCCCTACAACAAGCTGCCCCCAGTCCCTCCCACCCCTTGCTGTCTGGACTGCCCAGGATGTGACGTGGATAAATGGGTGTCAGAAGAGAGACACTAATTTGGGGCTTGGGTGGGGTAGCACACTGGTGTCTCAAAGCAGCAGCCTCTTCACACCAGGTAGTAAGGGTTTGGGTTTCCTGTTGGGCTACAATGAATGCACTTCTGACCTGGAGGAAGGGTCGGGTTTTTTCCATTTTTCTGGCTGCGCAGGCTCCCTGGGTTTCAAGGATGTGGGAATGTGTGTCTGGTAGTCTGTTTCTGGTGGTGTAATTGGTTTTGAAGTGTGATTGGTCAAAAGGTTTGCCTGTTTTGGAGATGTTCCTTCTACTTGGGGATTTTGGAATGTTCCCCTGACCAGAGATTTTACCAAATCTTTCTGAATGCACACTGAGCTCTGCTCTCTCCCCTCCGGCTGATTTCCATATCTAACTGTCTCTGGACATGTGCCCTGCACTTTTTCAAAGATTAAAATTTTTATGTGAACTTTGATCTACATTTCCACTAGTTGAAGGCTTGGAGAGGTGGAATTAAGGAAAAATAAACTCAAAGCGAAAAGAAGTCTGGACATCCAGCCAGCAACACACCACACTTGTGGACAGAAGAATGACTTTGGTAAGTCTCCAGAAAGGGTTTTAAAGCTTTCATTTTAAAAGCAATAGTGACAGTCTTTTAGCAGGGGCAGAGGGCTGCAGGTCTGGGGCTCTCGCACAGCAGGAAAGGAACCCTGGTTTGGGTCCAAGAGCCCTGGGGCTTCCCTGCCTCAGCTGCTGTGTGGGGTTTGGTCTCCTGAGTGCTGGCTGCCCCCTGGCACCTCACTGAAGGCTTTTGTTTACCCAAACCAGGTCCAGAAACACCTTGTGAAGGAGGAAATCCAGAGTGAGATTCCAGTTTAAGATCAGAGTGGGGAGTGTCCAAAGTTGGAGGGGGGTTTAGATTCCAAAGCCTTTAGTTCTGTTTTTATTTTAATTAATTCCACAATAATATGTGAAAATATTTCCCTTGTTTAAGAAACCAAAAGCAGAAAGGGGCCAGAGGGTGGGAGGAGGGGAGAGAAGGGGGAAGTGTTAGGGAGTGATATCGGCCAACATAATTGCTATATGGGGTGCATGTGTGTAGGCAACAAAACCCTCATCATTATGTTCAAGTGTAATGGACTAATAAGAACATGTGGAAAGAGAATTTTTAAAATTTTAAAAATAAAGAAACTGAAAGTAAAGTCGAAGCCATGAGCATGAAGGACGGCAGCCCTTCTCCCAGGCTCCCTGCACTCTCTCCTTCCCCACAAGCAGCTTGGGGTGCACTCTGCCAGACCTGTTTCTATGCAAATGTACACAGCTACCTTATAAGTGTTGTTTTATAGCTTTAGGTTTTGTTGTAGTTTTTCTACAATTAATTAAATATCTTTATTGATTCATGCTTTCTAGAAAATATTTTAATTATATGATCAAAGGCCAATACTTTCCTAAGCCATTTTTCCCACCAAATATAATAATGTATATTTTTACAACTAATCAATTTGTAACAGCTGTGATCCCCAAACCTTTGTTTTCCCCCAAACGCTTCTTAACAAGATAAGATCAGAGTTGCAAACAGACCATAAGTAGCAATAAAAAAAAATCTAAACAGGCAAAGCCTTACTCCCATTGACCCAATTATCACCACTCAGTTGGACCCAGCTTTTAGGCTTTGTTCAACAGCCCTGCACCGAGGTGTCCCAGGGACGTTCTCAGCATCACAAGTGCAGCTGCTGACGTTCTGGTGCCACAAACAACCACAAAGGCACCGAGGGGAGACCTTGCCCATTCCATTTCGTTCTTGGACAGAGTTCTCTTCTGCACTTTCTCCATCATTTTCATCTTTTTCTTACAAGAATCTTGACTGTTGATATCAATAAAATAAAAAAATAAGAGTTTTTCTTTTTCATTCTCCTATTTTTTCCTTCTTCATTAAAGCTTTCATTATCTTCAGTGGAACTTTTTGTTTCTTGATTGTCGAACTTTTCAAATACTTTTCCACTTTGGCCTTTCTTTGATACAAACTTATCAGATATTCCTAGTGCCTTTCGGGTGTTAGAATAATGCTTTTCTGCTGCCATTCTTGCAATTTTCTGAGCAACTCCAACAGTAGTGGCCTCTACTTAAGTTTTTCTTCTCTCTCTTGTACATCTCGTCGGTATTCTCATCCTTTCCTTTTCACTCTTTCCTATGGCTGTTCCCATCCTCTGGAAGACACTGTGGCCCGGGGAAGGGGGCGGCTACAAGGCATGGTCTTTGCACTTGCACTTCTTCCTGATGTCTTGTGCCATGGAGACTGATAAGGCCATGTGTTTCCGATTTTCTTCATCTGCTCTAATGTCCGTCAAAATGGTTTCTCTTTCAGCAGATGCCCTTGAGGATGTGCAAAGATCAAGGGGTTTACTGACAGTTAAGAGTTTTGGACACTTGGGTTCTGAGAAGCCTTTCTTATATGTCTCAGGAAGGTCTTCAACCTCATGAAAGTGGCTTTGAGTTTACACCTTAACCTTCCAGCCTATTCGGGACCCTTAGAATGCCTGCAAGCTGGCTTATAGGGCACAGGGGACGCCTTGGCTGCATCTTAATGTTTCTATAGCACTCTTCTTCTTTTATCTTGTCACTGGTAGTTGAATCATAAGTAGACCGAGGTATGGGTCTAGTTTAAATGGATTTTCTTTTTCTTTTTAGATCTAAAAAAGTCTCTCAGCTGCTTTTTCCAGGCTGTTTGCAATAAACTTGCAATAAACTTAAATGGCTTTTGTGAGTTCAGAAGAGCTTCTTTGTTTTCCTCCTTCCTAGACCTCCTCCATTCTTCTTTTAGCTTGGCCATGTCGTGAGAAAGGAGGAGAAGGACACGTACAGGAACTGGGGTGGCTCAGAGTTTCTTCCTACTTTCCGAATCTGCTTCTTGTTTTTTGTTTGTTTGTTTGTTTGTTTTTGAGCAGTTGATGTGCCATTTCAATATTTGATGGATTTCGATATCATGGCCTCTTCTTTTTTCTTCTGTTCTCTACTCATCATCTGAAAAGGCACAGGTACTGTATCCTAGGAACCCATTCTTTCTTTTTCTTCCTTGTTTTTTTCATTTCCTTGGAAGTCAACATCTTCATACTGAATAGAATCTTTAACACAAAAGTCTGTCTTTAGCATAGTTCATCATTGTGTATCTTTCTAGATTGGGCATGTCCTCCTGAAAGGAAGAAGTATGCAAGGAGGATACTCGGCCTAAGTCAGGCTCTGAAGGTGTCCTCATTAATGGAGCAGGTAGACGGGAGTTCTTTTCTCATGTAGAGCTGGAAGAGACACGAGGAGCATCTTCCTTGGCGATCACTGGCTGAACTTCCTTTAAATTTATCTTGATACATTTTTTTTTCCCTAATTTTGCCATAGTTTCTAGCTTCATCTCTCCTAGCTTCCTGAAATACTCTTCATAAGAGTGGTAAATATCAGAAAAGTGCACAGTGTCCTCATGGTTCACATGCTCATCCACTCCAGAAAAGTTGGTGTTAAAATCAGCTGACGCCTGCACGGACCACAACACCTTCTCCTCCTCTTCCTCCTCCAATGCCAACACCACTGCTGCCGCCAGGGCCCCTAGGGGTCTTTGTGTTCCTACTGGGCGACCCACGTTCCAGTGTTGGGAGCTACCAGCATGTGGAAACTGGAGGCCCCTATCCCAAATCTCAGTGCTATGGCCATCACCTGCCTCCGAGGCCTGAGCGTCACAGCTGGTCCCCCTCGGGTTTATTGTGGTTTTTAATTGATTCCCTGAGTACAGTTCATCTAAGACATACTTCAATCTTCCCCTTTACTTAATTGTGTTTACTAGAACCAGTTTCATGCATTTCACTACATGTGTGGTTATCTATCTATCTATCTATGTATTTATTTTCAGTGCAAGGGATTAAGACCAGGACCTTGTGCAAGCTAGGCAAGTGCTCTACCACGGAGCCTTTTTTAATCTTCATTATGAGGCCAGGTCTCTCTAGGTGGCCCAAGCTGGCCTAAAACATGTGATGCTCCTGCATGGCCTCCCAAGTCACTGGATTACAGGCATGCCTGACCATTGATGGCAGGTATTACCTTTCTGAATAATAAAATTAACCAACTTTTGGTCAAGCTGACTCCTGATCCTTGCTGCCAAGGACTTGAACTCCCAGGAGATCTCCCACCTCCTCCAGGCAGCTGCACCCTCACCTGTCTCTGCAGCAGCTCAGCTCCCTGGCAGGGTGCACTGGGCCAGAGGCTGGGCTCAGCTGAGTTTGGGGAGGACAGCTGGTTGCCTCAGAGTGTCCCAGAAATGCAACTCACTCGTGTGAACTTCAGAAGAGATCCCCTCCCCCTCTGACTCCCAACCACATCCTGTCTTTCTTTTTCTTGATTTTTGCTTAGAGCCCAGACTCCAGCTGCCCTAACTTGTCTGGGATCTTCTGGGATTGTTCAGGCATAAATATTGGAAACCCTGAGATCTTGGTTTCCTCTGGCTCTTCTGCTCTCTAGGCAAGTCACCTAACCATCCTGAGACCCATTCTCCTCACCTGTCCAGGAGGGTGACGGTAGTTCTTACTTGAAGGAGTGGTGGACAGTGGGGTACAAGTGTTCTGCAGTGTTTGGCAGGTTAGGCTCTGTACGTGGGCTCTCTGTAACTCAAAAGCATCACTGAGGCCTGGGCATATGGCTGGTGGCCCTTAATGAGTCATTATAGACCTTCTTGGGAATCTTATCATCGTTTTCTCATAGAAATATTCTCTGTGCATAAAATGTGCTCTCTGCAGCTGGAGCCCAGAGGCTCCATCACTGCCCCACATTTCCATACTGTAGAACCACTAGTACCTCAAAGACAATCTCTGACCCGAAGTCCTTTAGAGCTTTCCAGGCTAGCAAGCATATGGTAAATGAAAAGAAGAGGCTCAACCTGTGTGGGATTCCTACAAGTGATGAGGACAGGGATTCTGTAGGCCTGGGCTGGGGCTTCTTGCAGGTCAGGTTCTAGAACATTCCATACAAAGGCCCCCTCAAACTGTGTCTGCTTTTTCGGTTGCAGGATGGAAAACAACCAAAACTTGGAGACCTAATTGAAATTTCTCGCTACTGCTATCAGCACTGGGCCATCTATGTGGGAAATGGCTATGTGGTCCATCTGGCTCCACCAAGTAAGCCTGGTTTCTCTATTGAACACAAGGGCTGAGATCAAGAGTATGAGCACAGCCACAGTTATGTGCTGGTCCTCATACTGGCTGGCACAGCAGGCACTCAGTCAGCATTTACTGAAGGAATCATGCTCCTTCCCTCTGGCAGTATCTATTGCTAGTCCTACTTATCAGTGAGCTCAGGGAGAGGATAGTGACCATTTTTTTCATTCTACAGTGGAGTTCAGTCCCATGTGAACCTCTTTGGCTAATAGCATCCCTCCAAATGTTCAGTACGCTGTGTATGTAGAGTTCTGCAAGGTCAAACAATAATAGAAGGAATTAATGCTTCCAAGAGTTTATACCTGACTGCAGAGTGCAATGGACAGGTGTGGGCCTCCAACCTCCCCAGGGCCAGCCTGGAATCCTGCTCCTCTGCCTCCTGACTGTGTGACCTGAGTGTGTGGCTTCACCTCACTCAGTTCAGCTCTATCTCAGAAGAGGAGAGATAGGAATTCCTGTCTCCCAGGCCGTGAGGGAGAGAAATGAAGGAGGGCAGGGAGAGCCTGGTGCAGGGCCTGGCCAGGTGTGGGCCTCCTCCCTCTCTGGCCCAGCATCATGGCTTTAAGGGACACGCGGACATGCTGGAAACTCCACTCACCTGCACACAGTGGAACACTGTCCAGTCCTTCAAGTCACTAGTAGAGCTGGTGTGAACATGCACCTGTGTGCACATAAGGAAGTCAGTCGAGTGAGAGACATTGAGACCTTTTGTGGCACCTACGGCAGCTCACAAACTCAGAGACTTTGAACAGAAAATGACAAAGAGCTCAGCTCACAGCAGTGCTCACACTCGGTTGTTAAAGCATCATTGAGGGAGTGCATTTGTCCCTGAGCCTGGCCACTAGGAACCTGGCCTCCTTAGGCTGTGCTGCTGCGGGTGCTCCGTGGTTGGTGTCTAACCCCTGGGACAGCAGCAAGGTCCTGCTCACAGCCGGAGAGGGAGGTCTGTCTGGGTTAGAGCTGGCTCTGGGGAAATCAGGACAGTGTCCAGTTAGGGCTGCATGAGGTGGGCCCTTTGTTCTTGTTGGTTTGTTTGTTTGGTTGAAGCCCTGGGGGTTGAACCCAGGGTGCTCTAACCATGAGCTCTACCCCAGCCCTTTTAAGATTTTATTTTGAGTCAGGGTCTCACTGAGTTGCTCGGGCTGGCCGCAGACTCACATCCTTGTGCTTCAGTCTCCTGAGTGTCTGAGATTACAGGCAGGTGCCCCACTGTTGAGAGTCATAACCAAGTCAAGATGGTGCCTGGCAGTTTGCCAGAAGGAGTGGTTTGAGAAGTAACACCAGGGAGCCATTAAGATGATGTTAATTAAGTTAAGCTGTGTATAATTATTAAAATGAAGTAACGCCAGCTAGCCATTGAGATGATAGAGGTTCCTTATTGGCTAATTGCTGTATCTAGATGATGTTAATTGAATTAAGCTGTGTATAATTGTTAAGATGATGAGGATTGCTGTATCTGGATGATGTTAATTGAAACATGCTGTGTATAATCAATTACGTGTATATATACCTTTGCTGTCCCGTAATAAAACGGCTCCCGCTGTATCAACCTTCACAAGTTGCTTGTCACCCCCCAGTTATTTTGCCCAGCCAGACTGCGGCACCCCACACCGTGCCTAGCTATGGTTTTGGTCTACATTCAATCTGTGGCCTCATTCACATTTCTGTTTAACAATTCCCTCCGTTGGTCAATCTGTCAGTTGGACCAGAAATGGAACTAATCCCCAAGATTATACTTCGTCTCCCAATGTTTGTCCTTCAGGGGATGCCCTAGATGGTAAACCAGGACTCCGCAGATACTTCACATTGTTTTTGTGAATACAGTTTTGGTGGCTTAGTGCTCATAGAGGTCATCTTAAGAGCTCGTGGCTGCTGACAAAGTTCATGTCTCTTGAGGATACGCCACATGTAGGGAATGTTGTTAGTGCAACAAGGTGGAGAATAATACCAAGGGCCTGGAGAACATTCCAGAGCCAGGTCTCTAGGAGCCCAGAGTTAACCAATTGATTTGGGAGGTGGGTCCACTGATCACATCTCCTTGGTCACATGATGTACCTGGATCCATCCTTTAGATCTTTAAGATTCTGGGCTACAACCCTGGGTTTATTATCTTAGAAGCAGCATTTTCCCCAATAAGTGTTCCATTCCTTCCTGTTGAGCAGTTAGGCTACCCAGGACCCTTTCATTATGGAGTATGGAAGCTAAACTGCTTATGTCAGGCTGTCTTCCTTAAAGAGAATTTATGTACAGGTAGAACTTTTTCCAGGCCTTGTAGAAATATTGTTCATGGATTGTTCAAATCCAGAAACTCCCACTTAAGGGGAGAGTGTGCAAACAAAAATAACATCCAGAGTTTCTCTTCATGATCAGCTTTGTAAGTTTCTTGAAAAGATCACTTACGGAGGAATATTTTATGCATAATGATCTCAAGGTGAGAATTTGTTGGTCATTCCAAAGTCATATGCTGTTATTGGGGGTGAGAGATATCCCAGGCTGCAGCATCCAGATCCTTAGCATTGGAAATCTTTGTATATCTTATTACCACAAATAAAGAATAGTCCAATATGAAAGAGACAGAGAGAGAGAGAGTGTGTGTGTTTCCAGGTAGATTTCATTACTCACCACCAAGTGTATTAGGAATATCGTGATTAATCTTGACATCTTGGCATTGACACAATGCCAGCTTAAATGGCATTTCTTTAAACCAGGTAAAAGCATAAGGCATTTTTACAAATGTGATAAAAATCTTGACAAGTTTTACCTCAATTAAATATGATTTATTCATTCTCCAGATATGCCCTGAATATTGGTCTTACCGTGTACACAGAAACACTACTACAGAAACACTCCATGTACTCACAGAGTTTCCATTGATTTCAACTATGGTTTCCATGAGTTTCTGAATAGTATATTGGAAGGTTTCATTTTCACTTTCTAATTTTATTTCTGCGTCATTCAACACTGGATTCCCCTATCTGCCATTATGAATCATATGAAAGGAATTAACAATAGAGTAAATCAAGGATCTACCAAGTCAGGTCCCATGACATTAAGATTTCCCAGATATAGGGGGAAGCAATACAGACATAATAGCTGTCCAGAGACACACCTGGGTGGATGGCTGCTTACCAGCGCCGCTCCAGCTGGGAAGGAGCACTTGTTGAAGACGCTGTCCAGGGGAGGAGGACAAAACTTCCTGAAAACCACTTCTCTCCCAATGTGCAGTGAGGCTGTCTTGATTGGGGACAGCTCTGAGACACTGTGGCCCTGCCCAGGCCTGAGTCCACTGTTTCCACAGGTGAAGTGGCAGGAGCTGGCGTGAGCAGCATCATGTCCATCGTGGCTGACAGAGCCATAGTGAAGAAGGAGCTGCTGTCCGTGGTGGCCGGAGGAGACAAGTACCGGGTCAATAACAAGCACGATGACAAGTATGACCCACTGCCATCCAACAAAATTGTCCAGCAGGCAGAGAAAATGGTGGGGAAGGAAGTCCCCTATTCAGTGACAAGTGACAACTGTGAGCACTTTGTGAACACACTGCGCTATGGAGTTTCCCGCAGTGACCAGGTGTGTCCTCAGCCTGTGTCCCCTTCCCTGAGACCAGTCCATTCCCAGCTGACAGGGGCTGGGCACCTGCTGAGGGCTGGCAGTGCAACCTGACTTGGAGATTGCCCGTGAGAAAGGGTCAGGGAAGCTGGCAGAGTGAGCAGTTGAGTCCAGGAGAAGGGGACCCTGGTCATGTTGGGCTCATTTTTTCTGCACAAGGTCAACAGGAAACACTTCAGTTTTCTTGAGCCACCTGGTCCCTCTCCTTACTCTGCCAGGGTCACTCTGTAGCCTGAGAGCAGCCATTGACACACATGAGGCTATTATCTTCCAATAAAACTTGATTTCTTTTCAATTATTCATTTTTGTAGAAACACATGACAGGCTAGATTTGACCAATTGGATATAGTTTTACAAGTCTTCATAAAAGAACTCAAGTGCTGAGGCTGTATGTAGCTCAGTGGCAGAACACATGCCTGATGTGCATGCGACCCTGAGTTCTATTACCAACACCCCCCCTCAAAAAAAAAAGACATTTTGTTGGACATTTTATTTGAAAATCAAACATTTCCAAAATCATGAATGTGGAAGATATGTACAGAATGGAATTTTTTTGCATTTTACATCTGTGATTCCAGCATAGATTTTCTTGAAAACCTTGGTGTTTCACAATTAGTTTATTTAATGACCGAATAATGCCTTTGATATAATTTCAATTGTCAAGCCAGGTGTTATTGTAAAAGTGTCAGTCAAATCAGATAATTTTTCTAGCCAGAAACTGATAGATTGCCAGGCACATTGGTGCACACCTGTAATCCCAGAAGCTCAGGAGGATGAGGAAGGAGGATCACAAGCTCAGAGCCTCAATTTAGTGAGTACCTAAGCAACTTAGTGAGACCATGACTCCAGATAAAATACAAAAAAACTGGGTATGTGGCTTAGGGGTTAAGTGCCTCTGGGTTCAATCCTCAGTGCCCAAATCAAAAACAAACAAACAAACAAACAAAAAGACAATTTTTTAGTTCAGTAGAAGGTGCTCATGCCCATGGCCATGACACCACCTCCCTTTGGTATCCTAATATCAGTGGGTGGTGGACCTGGCAGGAGGCCTCCCTCCCCAGGGCTGTGTATTATTTGGGGAGTCCTCTTGTTGGGGAGCAATGAATTCTTGAATCCTCCCTTCTTGGTGTCCAGGTATTTTTCACCTTGGCCTGTGCCCCATAATTCAGGATAGGGGAGGGTTTGGCTCTCCTTTGGTAAGGTAGGAGAAGGGCTGTGGTGAAGAGGGGAGGTGCGCAGGGAAAACCCATACCTTCTGGAAGTGAGGGCCCCAGCCCAGGCTGATAGTGGGAACACCAGTCAGCTCTGAGCACTGGGGTGCAGTGAGACCTGCTTTGTTGCTGTGACCTTGCTGAATGGGTTCCCCTCCTGTCAGCTGTGGAGGGTGGACATATGTCTGGTGGTTTGCTGCTACGTGTGGTGTGGTGGGCTGCCTTGTAATGCATCTAAACCACTTCCAAAGGTTGTACAAACAACCCAAGGATCAGTCCCCACCCGCCGGGTGTTTTAGGGGTGGTAGGCTCTCTGCTGTTCTTCTGAGAGTTCAACTTAAGCAAGGCTGTGCCATTTAGTTTCTCCTTGGCCTGGGGTCCCTCTTTGGGAACCTCTTCTGCAGGTATCTCAGTGACTCGCCTGTCTTCTCCCTCTCACTCCTTCCTTCCCTTCTGCCCTGTCTCCATAGGAAGCTCCTCCTCTGCCCGTCTCCAGCTCTATTTCTCCTTCTCTCTCTGTACACAGTGTGCTGTGGGCACTGCAGAACACTGGGCCCCTTGTGACTCTGTCCACAATTTGCTCTGATAGACCACTAACCTCTAGCATGGTCCCTGGCGACATGAAGCTCTGTCCCAAGGAACTTCCCAATCCCTCTTCAAATGCCTGCTTGAGAAAGTTCTGCCTTTCATGAGAATGTGCTATTGTTTTTTTCCAAACAGCAGCAGATGATAGACCCAAGGCCTTCCGTCTTAGTGCATTTACTAAAATGGACTTATAATTATGAATCCTTCCTCTGATTCTATGAGGTACAGATTGATAGGTAGGAAGATCACATAGACATAGATAGAAGTCTTACAACTCAGAAGTGTCATTCTCCAAGGTCTGAGAGTCATGCCTTCGGAATACATTCATCAGAAAAGCCAGGGCCTCCTGCCATCTCCATCAGACGATACAATCCAAACTTCATTAGTTGCCAGGCAGCACACTCAGGGGGCCTCCTTGCATTTACAGAGACCACCCTTTGTCACTTTTTGTCACCTCCCTGACTCTAAAGACACCCACCCCCCACCCCTGCACGCTCATCTCACTTGGAAATACTTATTAACTGCAAAAATTGTAATGGAGCTAGGCTCGCTGCCAGTGGTGACTGAATGAAGATTCTGGTCATTGCTTTGACTAGTGTCCAGCTTCATGGAGGTGATCCAAGTGTCTGTGGATAAGATGGTGCACTGCTGCCCTTTCTCTTCTCCCACCTGCACATGGTGCTGCTCCCCAGAAATCTGTCCTTGGGTCACTGATTTCACTGTTTCCTTCCCTGGCTGTGAAGGCATAAGCAGAACTGAGCCTTGTCCCTTGCCAGCTGTGTGGTTTGAGTGAGGTCTCTCCATTCATCACCGTCAGTCACCACCAACTGGAAGATGGGAATTAGAAAGCCAATCTCACAGGGTTGTTGGGAGGGCTAAGAAAAATACAGAAGCTGTCAAACGACCAGCACAGTAAGTAACTGAGAAAAAAGCCATTTTAAAAATATTTTATTAGTTCTTGATGGACCTTTATTTATTTATAGGTGGTGCTGAGAATCGAACCCAATGGCTCACACATGCTTAGCAAGTGCTCTCCCACTGAGCCCCAGCCCCAGCCCCATCATTCTTATGGTGTTTGTGGCCCCCCTGCCTCAGTTCCACCTGTGTGCAAGGTGGGACCCCAGGTTGTGGTTGGCCATGTCAGTCAGCTCACACTGAAGCAGCAACCATCAAGGTCCCCCTCACGTCCCCTCTCTGTCCTTCAGCAGGACCCCTTCCCTCTCACACACAAGCAAGTCCTCTCACTGCACAAAAGCCTGTCCTCAGCGCTGCTCCCAGTCCACCATTTGCTCAGCAGCTAAGTCACCAGGGTCCACCTGTGCCAGGCAGTGGGCTGAGCATCAGGGACACCAAGAACACCTAGGTGGGTCCCTGTCCTCAAGCCCTGGGCAGTGGGAGTTCACAGGGGTCATTCCTCAACTTGGCACCTGCTTCAAGGCTCCCAGTCGGCCACCCCTGACCTAGAACATCTGAGCCCTGCCACTCTGTCCTTCCCACAGCCACCCCATGGGTTTATCATGCTTTAAACACCTCTAGGCTGCATCTTGCTTTCCTCCTTTGAGACTCCCTTTTCATACTGAGACTCAGTCCTACATTCATTCCTTCCTGACCAGGGACTTCCTGTCCTCTCTCCTGGGTGGCCTGACCTTTTGGGATCCCCCCTCCCTGCCAGTAACTGTTTCCTCTGTGATGTGGTGAAGAGGACAGGGATCATGGGTCTCTCCTGACCTGCAGGTTCCTTGGACAAGTATCTCTGCTCAGACTCCTGATGTGACCCCGCCCCCTTGTCTTCTGTTGCAGGTGACTGACACCTTCACTGTGATTGGTACTGCATCAGTTGTCCTGGGTGTTGCTGGCCTCATTGGGATGATGCTGTACAGAAGCAAGCGGGAAAAGCAGTAAATGCAAGGCTTTATCTTGGCGGCACCAGTTACCTTGGGGGAGTTTGATCAAGCCAGTGGAAATGGTTTGGTTTACAGGTTTCACTCTTTAGTAATCATGAGCACTTGGTTTAAGTGCTCATGATTTGATTGGGGCTCAATCAAAGCATAGGAAGCTGTTTTCTGAGGGAAACGCTGCATGGTATGAATTCTATTAAAGAGATGATTGCACAATGCTATGGTGTCAACGTTTGTGTCCCCTCCCACCCAAAATTCATATGCTGTTGCCAAATGTGATGGTGTTCGGAGGTGGTGTGATTAGGGTCAGGAGGTGGTGAGAGTGGAACTCTTATCCAGGGATTAGTGTCCCTCTAAGAAGAAGAAGAGAGACCAGAGCTCTCTTTCCCTCCCTCTGCCATGTGCAGCCCCAGTGACAAGGGGACCAACTGCCTTCCAGGAAGAAGGTCTCTAGACACCTTGTCTGACATATCTTGATCTTAGATTTCCCAGCTGCTGTGGCTTCAGTTTAGGGATCCCTTCCAAGTCTGTGTTCTAATACAGTTCCCCCAGGGACATATGATGGAGTGAGACCAGGGTAGGCAGGCAGTGGTCCTGGCACGGGGGTGTGAGAGGACACTGGGAAAGGTGGAGGGGGGCTGTGGCTGGGTGTGTAGCTCTGGTCTTCCTGTGCTGGCCTGGTGTGGAGTGGCTCTCTGTGTGGGAATTCCATGTTTGGGATTGGGGTCTACAAACTTCGTGATTGTGACATGCTTGGTGACTAGGAAGTTTCTGTGCAAAGACATAGAATGCCTGGCTGCTAGGTAGTACCTGGCGACTGGGAAACTCCTGTGCAAAAGCACAGGATGCCCGGCTGCCGTAGCACTGTCCTTCACAGGTTTGCCCTGATTCCAGAACTGGGGTGCCCAGCCTTCTCCCTCTGAGCTAAAAGGACAACTATGCAGGCGCTATCTGGTCTCCATGGTATTGCCCCTGGAGAATAGGAGCCCCGTGTTGAGGTCCATTAATGTTAAGGTCCATTTAACCTGGACCTTGTCTCAGTTAGCTAGGACTCAGGGTTGAAGAAGTACTAATTAGAATGTAGTCATGTGTTGAGAGCCACAGCCGAGTCGGGATGGTGCCTGGCATTTTGCCAGAAGGAGTGGTTGAGAGGTGACGCCAGCGAGCCCCGACACTTACCCTTGGATGTTACCACCTTCCAGGCACTTAGTAGGTTGCTCACGTCCTCACAAGCCTTCCTTTTCCGCAGCTTCCTGAGTCCTCTGGCCCAAGAGCAACCAAGTGAGGAGTTGGCCTTGGAGACAAGGACCCATCCCCTGGGCTCCAGTGGAGACAGCCTGAGCCACTTCTCCCAGAAGCATAAACCTACTGCCTGCTTGTCTAGTTGCTCTGGATAGGGGACTCCAGAGTGGGGAAGAGCTGTGTCCTTTTTCCTTTTTCCCCATGATAACTTCTTATCGCTTTATTATTTTAATTCCTGCTTCTTTGCCTTTAAAAAAGTAAAGTAACTCCTGTTCTACATGGATACAAAACTTTATTTTATTTATTTATTTATTTATCTATTTTTATGAGGTGCTGAGGATCGACCCTAGAGCCTCCCACATGCTGAGCTGGGTCCCAGCCCCTTGCTGCTTTGCCTTGTCATGTGCATTTTAAAATCATCTTGTCCAGATCTGCAGATCATTCTGTGGGGTTTTGTTTGGCATCTCACTGGCTCTGCAGACCAACCTGAGAAGAACTGACCTTCCTGTGATGGGTCTTTGGATCCAGGGGGTGACGTGTCTCTTCATTTATTTAGGTCTTTGCTTTTTTTTCAATCAGAATTTTGAGTTTTCAGTATATGTGTGTTGTTAGATTTGTGGCTAAGTATTTCATTTGTTCAGTTATTTACAGTTAGCTGTAGGTTTTCGTAGATGGCCTTTAAAAGTTGGGGAGGTGATCTTCCAGTTCTAATTTTCTGAGATTTGTTGGATTTAGACCATTAGTGACACTTTACCAACTATATTTTTTAATGGAAAAACAATAGTTTATTGTCATTTTCTTATTTTATGTGCTCATTCATAAATTATAATTATACACGAAGTGGGGTTCATAGTGACATATTCATGTATGTAGGTACCATATTTCCCTGGTATTTCCCCTCCTCCTGTTTCCCTTCCTCTACTCTTCAGGATTTCTTTCTATTTATTTGTATTTTTTTCCATTGGTGCTGAGAATTTTTTAACATCTTGAATGAGTGTTGAATTTTGTCAAAGGCTTTTGCTGCATCAGTTGATATGACCATGTGACTTCTGTTCCATATGCTGTTAACATGGCATATTGCATATTTGATTTTCAAAGATCCAGCCACACTTGGGTTCCTGGGATCAAGTCCATGGGGTCATGATGGAGTGTTCCTTTTGAAAAGAGCTCAGTTTGATCCTCTGATGTTTTTTGAGGATTTTTACCTCTGTGTTCATGAGAGATGTTGATCTCTGGGTTTATTTTTTTAATGCTCAGCTGTCAGATTGGGATCTTACTGTAAATGGATGAGATGAAGGTTCCCTTCTCTGTTTCCTGAAATAGTTTCATGGAATGTTTCCTCCTCATTTTTCCAGGCCAGCCATGTAAACCTGGATCTTTCTTTTTCAGTGATTACAAACAAAAATGCACCCCAGTCAATACTTGTAGAGCTATTCAGAGTATCTATTTCATCTAGATGCATTTTGGTTGTTGGTGATATTTAAGAAATTAGTTCATTTAATCCAAGTTGCTCAATTTTAATTGTGATATTATTTTTTCTCATTTGATATCTGCCAGACCTTGTCTGAAAGCCCCTCCTTCACTCTTAACATTGGCATTCTGTGTCATTTTCCTTTATGCCTCTGTCGGTCTCACTAGAGGTTTATCTTTTGCTCTTTTAGAAGAACCAGCTTTTGGAGCTACTGATTTTCTCCCTTTCTGTTGCTCATTGAATGGATTGCTGCTCTTATCTTCATTTCCCTTCCTTCTGACCTGTTTTGCACTTATTTACTCTTTTCTAACTTCTTCAGATGGAAACTCAGTATCCTGACTTTCAGTTTTCTGCATTTAGTTCTATAAAGTTCCTTCTCAGTCCTGCATTAGCTATAACTAGCAGATGTTGATCTTCTGCATTGTGATTTGGGGTCATTTAAAATACGTTTTAGTGTCCATGGAGAATTCCTATTTGATACTTGGGTTATTTAGAAGCATGTTGTCCAACTGCAAGTATTGGAGATTATTCTTGTATGCTTCTGTTATTGAGTTCTAGTTTAATCCTCTTTTTGTGAGAAAGTATTTGTTGGACGATTTCCAGTTTTTTAATTTGTAAGGTTTATTTATTTTTTCATTATCTAGAACAAGAGCACATTGCATAGATTCTTGGGCACTTGAAAGGAGTGTGTGTTCTGCTGTTGTGGGTGAAGTGGTCAGTGAATGTCAGTTAGGTCCGATTACTTGGTGGTGATGTTCAGTTCTTCTGAGTCCTTGATGGTTTCCTCCCATGAGGTCTATCAGTTTTGTGAGAGGAAAGTCAAGTCTCCAACTGCAACTATTTATTTGCCTATTCGATTTTTCAGACTTTTTTTCCTCCACAGTTTTGAGGCTGTGGATGCCCACATACTTGGAACCATTGTATCTTACACACAAGGATTTAACATACCATATCAGAGACAGGCATCCCTAGGGAGACCTACTCACAAGGTTGGCTGTAGGCTGAGTCTGGGAACTGGGCAGGTAAACCTTGCCCTCAGTGATCACAATGACTCATCATGTCTAAACCCTCTGTATGAACAATGTGGTCTACACTGCATGCTGCCTGCCTTCTGGGAGTCTATGGCTTCAGGACATGCCAGGCAGAGAGGAACTAGGAGACTCTACTTGGACTGAGACCCTGGACTTCTACACTGGGGATCTTCTCAGGTAGACAACCCTCCACACATGTTGTCCCAATTCATTAGTAAGGACTTGAGTGATCCCATGTGAATCCACTGGAGAGGCTCCTGGAAGCTCTCACCTGGCTTCCTCAGGACGTCTCCCCACGTGCCTTTTCCTCTGCCCATCTTGCTTTGGGTCCTTTGCTTTAATAAATCTTAGCAGTGAGTGTGACTCTATGATGAGATCTTCTTCTTTGAACCAGTAAATATCCAGTGGCCTCAGGATGCCCTTCTCCAGTAGCTGAGGCCCTGACACATACTCAATGAAAGTATCTAATGTCCCCCAACAGGAGGTCAGTCAGGAGACACACAGTTGTCCTCAGAGATGTGGACATCTGATTCAGGTGCTCTCCCGCCCATGATCCAATCCATACAACTACAGGAGGAGGAGGGGTGAACTCTCTCCTGGTGGAGATGCAGAGATTGGGACTCAGAGGGTGGGGTGATGTGCTCAGGTCACTTGTGTGCAGAGGCTGAGCTGGACCCTCTCCCTGCCCATAGCCCTCATGAGTCACCCCAGGACCCCACTCTGTTCCTCGTTCCCCGCCTCTGTCCTCACTCTCAGCACTCCACCCAGGGCACCTCAGCATCACGAAACAATTATTTTTCTATTCCTCTTCCCTCTTCAAGTCTGATCTCATGGATGAAATATCCCTCCCCAACCCTTATTCTAGGCTCCCCAGTACCAAAAGAGGGGTCATCCTAAGTCTTCCGCTGCCCCACATTTCTTCTCTCAGCCCCACAGCCCAACTGCTGCCACATCCAATCACAAAGTCTAGTCACTGTAGACCCCAGGAATCTCTCCTGATTCCTTTCCTCCTCCACCTCCTGTCTACTAACGTAATCAGGGCAGTTCCCTTCCTCTTCCACGACCCCCATAGCCTCCTGCCTGCTTCCCCACCTCCTGTCCCTGCTGCCCCATACCCAGTCCCCAGACCACATGCCCTTCCTCACCAACACTTCCTCCCTCCCTCCCCTCCCTGGGCTCTGCCCCCAGGTCCACCCAGGGCCTCGACCTCCACTCACCTAGTGCTCCCTCTGGCCTCTGCTCTTCTGCACTCCTGGGTCTCCCTGCCCTAACCCCCTCCCCATGCCCACTCCCCCTCTTCCCATTCCCATCCACACACCCTTCCCACCAGGTGCCTCACTGCCCTCTGGCTCAACTGGCCCTCTCTGGGACCCAGGTTTCAGAGCCCATCATGCAAGGAACAGGATGGGCCACAATTCCCTGTGCCTGTCTGAGCTCCCTCCAGCCTCCAGGAGAAAATCTCCCGGGGGCTTGG